GATGATACACAGTTCAAGATCAAGTTTAAAAGAGAAATGAGTTTTGGGGTTTTTTTTTTAGTTAATACTAAACTTAACATGTATACTGGTATAGATTCCTAATTCAACCTGACAGGATTTCAACAGAATTATAAAATATAGAAAAAGGAAAGTAATATTCTTATTCTACTTTGTGCTGATTAGGCCTCCCTTGAGATTTTGTATTTTATTTGTTAAGAATGAAGACATTAGAGAAAACTGGTACCAGAGTGATAATGATAGTAATGATGCTGGAACCAATGGCCTACGAGGCAGGATGGAGCAGTGGAAAGGGCACTGACCAGCAAGTGGGGAGCCAGGCATTTGGCTGTAAGATCCTGACCAAGCAAGTACTTCTGGAGCTGACGACAGGCCTCCCTGGGTGGAAACATGGATGGTGGGAGTTGGCTGGCCTGTTCTGCTGAGGCGGTTTTGGCTCTCTGGTTAGGCCACACTACAAGTGGGTTCCTTTCTCCATACCTCACCCATTAAAGGATAGGGCCTCTTAAGCCTCCAAACAAGATTTTACACTCTTGAAATGCCATTAACATTTGCAAATTACACCAATTCTTTCCCTTGGGAAATCATAGAGGCCTGAGTTAAAACTCGGCCTGTCCTACTAGCTCTGTGACCACTTGAATTTTCGGAGACTCACTTTCCTTGTTTGTGAAATAGAGTCGATACCAGGTTCTGTATGATGTGAATATTGAGTGAGACAATGTATATACAAAATATAGCACAATGTGGGGCACAACGTAGATGCCCAACAAACGGTGTTGCTTATATTACTTCTACATTTACTACCACCATCCCTCTTTTATTTCTCCCCCTCCCCCTCTGCTGGCCAGGCACTGTGCTGGTCTTAGGGGGTACAGTAGAAAGAAAATTCATGCTTCCTGCCTGCACCAAGCTTACAGTCTGACCAGCACTGTCTAGCTGAACTTTCTGCAATAATTGAAATATTATACATGTGTATTCTCCAATATGGTAGCCAACAGCCACATGTGGCATTTAAGCACTATAAATGTGACTGATGTGGCTGAGGAACTGAATTTTAAACTTCATTGAATTTTAATGAATTAAATGAAAATGGAAATAGTCCCGTGTGGAAATAGAGAGCACAGCTCTAGACACCTTTCAGGTACATTTCTGAGACTGGCCAATAAAGATGCATCAAAAGAGAAATGCACGTAAAGCACCAACGTAGTGCCTGGAAGATTCTCTTATGTGTTCAGTCATCACATTTAATTCTACTGTGCGTAAGTCCCATCTCAGGTGCTGTGGGTACACTGCTGGCTGTACCTTCCAGGAACTCACTGCTGAGTGGGAGATATGCAGATGAATCCTTTTACCGTAAGGAAGTAAGTGTATGCACAGGTGCTACAGGTGTAGCAGAGAGAGGTCTGCAACCAGATGGGCAATTGGAAAGACACTTTTAAGACCTGAGCAATCTTGAATAAGTAGATCTCATAGTGGGGGCTCAATGGGTACTGATTCCATTTACAACAACAGATTATATTCCAGAGCCACTAAGCCCACAGCTGGTAGCACAGGTGGCTATGAGGAAAACCGGGGAAAACTCATAGCTGGGGCCAATTTGCTTTCTTAGAAAACATCCCCCATCTTTTGATATATCTGGTTCCATTCTCTTCTCTGGCCACAGTTTCATTGCCTGAGGACATTTTTTGATGATGTGCATAACCTTATTTTTTACTGTTTTGTTAGTAGTCACTAACCATGAGTGATTTGGGGAGGGGGAAGGCAGTGAACTCTGTTACACATGAAGTGACAACAACTCCCACTGTGGTTTGGCTGTGGAATTCGGATACCTACTATAAACAAATAGCTCTGTGAACACGGCCAATCTGTGAAGAAACTGCTACAGATCAGTTGGGCTGGCTGAATATGGCTGTGATAGTGATGCCTGTTCATAGGAGCGAGGGCTGTTCTAATTGCTTGGGTGGAGAAGAGGGATCTTTGGCCCATTTACATATTTTACACAATAGTTCAAAGTTAATAATGTGACATCAAGAGAGAGAATTCTGCAGCTGACATATATTCACATAAAGATAGGCACAGCTTTATATTGTATGGTTTTGATGATCATATTTGTGCATATAAAGCAAGATTATCTGTGTGGTTCCTTCTCCCATGAGACCAGAGAGATGCTCATGGAGCCTGGCTTGGTTGTGTGAGGCCCTGATCTATGTGAGACCATAGGGGGTACCTGCTTTGACTGCGGCAGTGTCGCCTTTGCTGGATGGAGGTGTACACTGACGTAGTGTTTTTGAGAAGCAGCTTGTCATATATACCAAGGGCCTTAAAACATTTATGTCCTTTGGCTCAGTCATTCTACTTCTGGGAATCTATCCAAAGGAAGTATTTGCAAATGTATACAACAAAGACTTTGCCCAGGATACTGTACAGTTATCTGTAGTTGCTTAAGACAGGAAACAACTTAAATGACTTACAGTGTGATAATGTGCAGTTATGAAGATGATGTTCACGAAGGAGTTTTCGTACAAGAAGGCAGAGAAACAGCTACAGAAGTTAAGCAGCCACCCAGAAGTCAGACAGGCTGGGTTTGAATCTTGGCTTTGCCACTTATTACTAGCTGTGTGACTTGGGCAAGTCACCTGAACCGTGTGGGGTTGATAATACATAATACTTGCCTTAGGAGGACTTCTGAGTGGCACGTAAATATAAAAATACTTAATACCTGCAAAGTACATGTGTTAGGTACCCAATAAATGTTGGATGTCTGTGGACTGTAAGATTTCATGGCATAGAAATAGATGACAAGGAAGTGTGCTGATATATCGACAGTATGGAATCTGCCTGGTTGAATTGTGGGTGTTTTGTTTAATTCTTTGCACACTTTCCAACTTCCCAAATTTCCTACATTCAATATGAATTACTTTTATACTAAAAGAGTATATCATAATGATGTAACACAATAAGATTTTTAAAAAAGAGTTTGACGACAATAAAACAGTACTTCTCTCTCCTTCCCTCCCAGGGGAAGAGCTGGAGGCAGCCTTCTGCCCCGGGGCGAGCAGGAGGGAGTAGAGCTGCTTATCGGCTTCCTCCCCTGACAGAGCTACGCACATGCGTACAGCCCAGACCCCGGGAGTAGGGGGCTGGCTGAACCCAGGGCCACTTGTCGAAGGTGCTCTGCAAGTTGGGGTGGGGGACAGGGAACAGATGTCCTTAGCACATTCTGCTATCTCTGGGAGTCTAGATTCCAAGATGCTCTGACGTTTATCATTTCCTCCCCACGTCTGAGTTAATCTGAACCAAACACTAACATAAAATTGTGAGGTGGGCAAGACTCATCTACTTGTTCCCTACCTCCAGACCTCTCCCATAAAAACACCTGTAATAACACCTACGTCTACAGCACTGTACATTAACTTTAAGTGAGACTGGCAAAGAAGAGACTTAGATTTGGGGTACAACAGGGAATAACAGGAAAGTTAGTCTAATTGAAGCTGCTTTATTTAATGAGTGTAATTAATATTGGAAGTCTTTGGCAATACAGCCATTTCTAACAGCACAAATGGCAAGGTCCCTCCCCACCTTAGGGCATATCTCTGGAATGAGAGGGTCACCAAGCATAAAGGTGTGTGTGTGTGTGTGTGTGTGTGTGTGTGTCCGTGACCAAACAGTGAGGACATTCACTTTCTGAGATCTAAAGTCTTTCATTGACAAAGAGGGTAGCCTGTGCTCCAGCAATCTCTGTCTGCTGTGTTTTAGACATTGAATTTCAGGCACCGAAATAACGAAGTCGTTCAGGGGACTGGAACCAGAGAGCAGTCCTTGGCCCTGTGTCTTGACGAATGCCCTTCTTCAGTGACACCCCCTGGTCCACACCTCCAGACAAAGGGTGCGTTCCCCTAAGCACTCAAAATGAAAGAATGACAAACAGCCCTCCCGGGCCCTCTTCCGGACAGCGAGGTCATCGTATGCTAATGAAGTCAGAAAAGACAAACACGCGGAGCCTGCCTGCGAGCTCGCCCGCGGGTTCGGGGTTCGTAGTTCTCCCGCGCACCACTGCGGCGCAGCCACAAAACCTCGCGCGCTGCTGCAGACCCTCCTGCCTCCGGGGGTGGGAAGTGGGGGGAAGGGTCTTGCCTGCCACTTTGGATCGCGCACATCTGGGTGATGCCTCCTGGTTCTGGGCCCCTGCTTTCCACTGCAATGATGGCGGGGATGGGGGCGGCGCATCAGAATCACCTGTAGGGCTTTTCGAACTCCACAGCTCCCTTCCCAAATTCTAGTCCACTCGTCCGGAGCAAGGAAATACCAGAATATGCAGGGTGAGGTGGACTGGTAGAGTTTTTAAGCCCACGGGTGATGCTATATGTGTGCCCCTCAAGACACACACACACACACACACACACACACACGCACACGCACACGCACGCATCTTGTGACTCGGAGACTAAACAGGTCAGCTTTACATTCTCTCCCTGTCCCTTCTCTTTCTCTAGCTTGCATTTGTCAACGTATCCGTGTTCTCTTCAGCTTCCCTCGAAGCTCCCCTAGCCCAGGAGCTTTTCCGAGTGCCCGAAGTCCTGAAACCCTGCGAGATGGTCAAATGTTAGGAAAAGTGTCCCCCGCTCCTTGCCGCCCTCGTGCACCCTGGAGAGCGAACTGGATACCTAGCAGCCAAGATGAGAAACCTGTCCGCTTGCTTCAGCAAACTGCCTGGAGCAAGGCCGCTTCCCGCCTGCACACCTTCGAGGTTTGGAAGATTCTCCCACCCTGAGCCACTCCTGTGCCTTCACCCTAACAGCGGGAGATGTCCTCCTGAAGGGACTTTGGAGCAGGTGGCACCGTCAGGGTGGGCGCTGTGGCCTCGGCTGCAGCTTCTTCCCCTGGCCACCGGACCAGCTCCCTCTTTGCCCTCCTTTTCCAAGTTGCTGCAGCCCACGTACCCAACCCCAAACCCCTCTCTGCTACGCGGGCCACTGTCTTACCTCTCACCAGGCAACACTTGGTTGCGCGGTTCCTCGGAGCGCTCCTTCCTCGGAGCTTATTCCCTTACTTGGGAGGAAAGAAGAACTAAGAGACAGAAAGGGGACCGGAGCCGGCGTCTGAGCGTCTTCCAGCCCGCGCAGCCCTCTCAGGGAGGGGACGGCAGCCAGAGTGGGCACCGCAGCAGAGCTCGCGTGGCGCTGCTGAGGAAAGGCAGCACTAGGGTCTTCTGCCAGCTCGGTTATCCGCGGCTCCGAAGCAGTCCTCCTCCGCTGCCGGCTACTACGGCACTGCGGCGCCCTGCCCCTAGCGGTTTGGTAAGTCCCGCTGCCACTCTCAGCGCTGAGCCCTGCCCCCGGGCGCAGAGCCCGCCCCCACCACACACCCGCGCGCGCGCACACACACATGCCACACACAAACGCGTGCGCGCACACACGCATGAATGCGGATCTGCCCTGTGGGAACCCGTGCACCTTTGGTGCAACTTGGGTTTGGGCATGGTTTGGGCACTTTTCACTGGTAGGGCTTCGGTTTGGGAGGAGGAGTTAGCTTAGGAGTTCCGAGAGGTTGCAGCAGTGGGGCTCCGAAGGGCGCCAGAGGCCTTCTGACTTGGGGACGGAGGACAACCGTTTGACAAATAAAATGACCCATTGGGCATTTCTACAAACCAAAAAAGTCCAGGCTGCCTTAAAATCTAGACCCAATAAGAAAGAAAAAAATCAAGAAATTCTCTCCGATTCCCAGGAACTGCGTGTCTGTTGCTTCCAAATTCCTCCTTGCTCAGGGGCACATTTCTGACATCTCTGACCTTGGTTGCAAGGGCCTGATGGCTGTTTGAGCTGAAAAGATTTGCCCCTCCTCAGATGTGGTGGAGAACTTCACAGGCCCATCAGAGCTAGGCTCTGAACCCCATGCCAGGTCTCAGAGACTGAGGGTTCTTAATTTCCTTCTCCATTGCTTTTAGACGATTACGGACGGTTCTCCTGCACAGCCAACAGACCACATCTTTTAAAAATGTAGACAAGTACAGAAAAGGCTCTGGGGTGAGGGGTAAGGGATGAGGGCCAACACTGGCCAAGGCACCAGGGACTTGTTGCTTCTTCTCTTTCCATGACGTGTATGTCCTCATGGGGCAGTAGTGGTGATGGTGACACTACCTCAGGCATGTCACACCAGCAGGATGACTTCTGTCCATTGCACACCACATTTAGAGTCATCGGGAATTTTGACTCTCATCTGTAAAATATGTGGAGTTTACCAGTTTCCCCAGCTGAGAATTCTTTTCCACCAGCAGGCAGTGAAGGTCTCCGGTCAGGACTGCAGCCAAGAAAAGCTTTCTGCAAATGCAGAGGCGCCAAGGGGCCCTGGGTGTCTGGGCATGTGAGGGAAGAAGCCTCAAACATGAATGTCAAATGTCCCCAAGGACCCTGCTGGTCAGTGTCCATATTGGGTCATCTGCAGGCAGGCTGATGGGACAGACAAGGAACTGAGGCTCAGAGATTTCCCCAAGGTTGCACATGGCAGTGAAGGCAGGGCCGATACCAGATGCCTGCGTCCACACTTCATCCTTCCATTCACTACTCACTTCTTGTTCTGTCGCCCTGGGTTGGTTCTCGAAGCTCCCTGTAGCTAGACTGAAACAGTCCTGGTGAAGAGGTTCTCCAGTTCTCTTATCTTTTCTTGTTTCCCTTTCACTTACTGATTTCTTCATTTCACAACTATCTATTAAATTCCTACTTTGTCTTCAGGTACTTTTCCCAACTCTAGTCCTAGGCCCTCCTTGGGAAGGAAGAGGAACTGAGAGACAGAGAGAGCGTAGAACTGTCTCTGTCCCCGGTGGAGGAGAAGGCTGATCACAGCCTTAACTGATGTATTTTCACTGTGCTAGGTGGGGTGGATGCGGGACACACAATCCCTGATTTCTCAACTTGCATTCTCTGTGGAGGAAAACACTCACGTGCATGTCACAAGAAAAACGTTCTTGCTCTGTGTATTTTTGACTCCTTCTAAAGAAGGAGAAAGGGAGAAAGAGCCTATATTTAGCTGAGCATCATAATAGATTTGCAAATGTATGCTTGCAGGTAGGGGCTGGGGCAACACTGAGTTGTTCTGTCTATTAGAACAGGAACGAAGTTGAATGCAAGGAATAGAGAAGACATGCAGACACAGGGTGCGAAGACTTGACTCGGTTGGGAGCTTTCTGAAGATTAATGAGAGAGAAACTCTGAGAACATGGGCTGCCAGGCAATGATTTAGAGAATGGGGGTGCTTACAAAGATTGGTAAATATTTTACTGGTGGGAAGGGGGGCTGTGAAGTCCCTGTTCTCCAAACTCTTGGAAATAAATGATTTGTAAAGGCAATATTGTCCCTCAGTTTGTTTTTGACTAGGGCTACTCAGGATGGTGCTGACTGAGTTCAGCATGTGGGTTGATGCAGGGTGAGTACAAAGATGCCTGTATGGACAGATGGCTTCAAGACAGTGGGCCCCTGAGTGACACGCTAATGTCATGTGGGGAAACGGTGGTAACAGAGGTCAAAACAACGTGGAAGGCAGGGAGAGCTGGGGCTGAGAAGAAGCACCAGGCAGACTAGTTGTGCTGACTGAGTCATCATGGAGGAGGTACGTTTGTGGTGGGGCTTGAAAGGGGAGTAGGAACCTGATGCGCAGATCAGCAGGACAAGGGCACTCTAGGCTGAGGGAAAGAAAAGTGCAGAAGGAGGGCAGCTCGTGGTGAGTTCTGGGCCTTCAGTAGAAGAAAGGAAGGTTGGGACATTATTATAGAGGGCTCCCAAGTGCCTTGCCAGCAGGGTGGACTTCAGGCTCTGAGTACTGAGGAACTACTTACAATGTGCATTTTTGTTGTTTTTATGTGGTTTTGACAAGGAAGGGCCTGGAAAACAAACTTGGAAGCCTCTGATGCCCCCTGACGGCCTTCCTAGTCAGAATGGGGCTTGGGGTGCTTGAGGGGAAGAGCTCGCTGCTGCCCTCATGAGGAGCCAGTGCCCAGGAAGTACAGCCGCTCACAGCACGGGGCTGAACGAAGTCCAGCCCGTGCTCCACCAGCTCAGCCTTGCAGCCTGGCAGGGCCATGCCTGCCTGGGGGAAGGGGTGCCTTTTCTCTAATTTGCAGAGGCTGGACGTGAGCTAATAGAAGCCCTGGCTGCTGACTTTGTCTTTGAAAAGGCTGCAGCTACAGTGAAACAAGTGAGGATTTATTGAGCAAACACAAGGTAAAGGGGAAAGAGTCTTGAAGTCAGGAGTAGCTGTGAGGCTGAGCACTTTCTGCTCTTCGGTGTGACACTCCGAGATGCACTCAGGGTGCGGAGGAAGAAGCTGATGTGCTCCCCTCGGAGCGTTTGCAATCTGTGTTGGCTATAAAACAAACACTCTGACCAGTTTCGAAGGAGCAGTAAAAGGCAGCATAAATCAAGTGCCAAATCGTATAGAGCACATTCTCAAGATGTGAGAGGAAAGACCTCCTCTGGGCTGGAACAGTTAAGGAAAGCTTCAGGGAGGAGGAGGTCTGCGCTTCTGAGTGAGGTGCCTATTGAAGTGAAGAGAGCTGTGAGCAAAGAGCCAGAAGCAGGGGGAGCTGGAGGCTTCTGAGCTGGGTTTTTAGACCCCGTGGCTACTTGAATGCCATTCCTAGTCATTGCCCAAGCACTCTGATGAGTCACTGTTGTTTCTGAGAGACAGGGCATTTTTGGATGTTTAACTGGCTTGGCCCTTTACATTCCCTGAGACTTCAAAGTTGGCAGCGAACACCCGCCATGTTGCTCTGGGAACACATCATCTAAGCTGGCAGAAGATGCCTGATGGCCACTGCCAAGGCAAAGCCAGGGCTGAGTCAGATACCTGTGTCTGGAAATTTTTATGTCGGACTGTCTCTGACCAGCTGGGTGAAGTGCATATGACAACACAAACGGCTGTGATCACAGAGTCTGGGTCAGTGGAGGGGGACCGGGAGAGCTGGGTTCAAGTTTCTGCTCGGGAGCTCAGTTTGCCTTTCTGGGCCTCACTTTTCTCACCTACAAAACTGAAGGATTATACCAGATTGTCTCCAAGCTGCCTTCTACCTCATATTTCATTATTTCATAGGGGATCTTTCTATTTCACTAAACAAATACAAGATGGTCAACTGACACTAGCCAAGGCCTTACTTTAATTCTCCTCTTTGCTTTGATTGTGAAGATAGGACTTGCTCTTGGTCACAGTTCTGCCATGATCAGGAGCTGTAAATCAGTCCTGGGAAAGTAGACAGGTCAGCCCCTCAGTGGGCCTCAGCTTTCTTATTGGTAAATAAGGCTTTTGGGAACGGTCTCAACAGTGCTTTCTGGCTCTGATACTCTAAGTACTGTCAACTGAGCGACTTTCAAATACTGCCCCACAACTGGCTAGAGGCTCCACCACCAGGCAAGCTGGGGAAATCCCCACCATAAAACTGATAAGCTTGGGGAAAAAGAGGTGCCCTGAGGTTTAGTCAGAGGAGACTGGAGAGGGGGCTTGGGGAGTTGGATGAAAGTAGGTGAAGGGATTAAACAAAAAAGTATATATATCTATATATATCTATATATCTATATATATATATAAAATCACAAAGACACAGACAACAGTGTGGTGATAGCTGGAGAGAAAGAGGGGAAGAGAGTGGAGGGTGGCGGAGGTAGGCCAAGGGAGGCTAAATAGGGATGGAAAGAAACTTCGCTTTGGGTGATGGGCGCACCATACTGTGAGCAGACGATGTTTCGCTGAGCTGTATACTCGAAACCTGCATGCTGTTATGAACCAGTGTCATCCCAATGAATTCAATAAAAAAAGACTAAAGTGACAAAAATAGAGTTACAAACAGACCATTTAGATACAATTGGAAGACCTCAGCCTGTGTCTAGAAGCCTTAGTTTCCTCTTCTGCAAAATGGGGATGGTCATACCTGCACCACTGGGTGGGTGATGATTAGATGAAGAGGTGCATGTGAAAATGCTTACGTATTTAGATGTACTATGCAAAAAAGTTATTAAAGATAGTCTGTTCCTCCAAGTCAGTCTGTTAAAAACAAACAAATAAATCCAACTATATTACTCACTTGTCTGCCTCCCAGGAAGCGACAATTCAAGTCAGCAACTGTCTCCACACTCCTAAGCATAGCAATATTTGAACGTGAAAATTTACCACAGGAGCTGGTAGACTTGAGCACTGACTAACAGGCTGCAGATTTGCCCCCTGCCTAGAATTCTGCACTATGTTGCTCAGGAACTTTGGGTTTATTTGAAAA